ATCGTCCAGTTTTATACGAGAAAGTGCGTCAGCTACATTGTTTTCCTTACCCGGTTTATATTTAATTATGAGATTATATTCTTGGAAGTTTTAAAGCCCATCTTATTAACCTGGGCGTTAGGTTTTTCCCCGAGTAAAGTCTACCAACAGCCGCATGATCCGAAAAGACTGTTACTGGCGCTTTGCCGAAATAAACTCGAAATTTGTGTACAGCCATTAATACGGCTAATGTTTCTCTCTCTGTAGCTGTATAATTCCTTTGTGTAGGATTCAACGTTTTACTAAAAATGTCAAAGGATGGCCATTTTGGATGAGAACAGCCCCTACAGCATAGTCCGACGCATCTGCTGCAATTTCCAGGTTTTCGTCCCCCTCCGGGAATTTCAAAACAGGGGCATTGATGAGCTCTTCTTTTAACCTTTCAAATGCGGTACTTGCTTCTGCTGTCCAAGTGAATTTACTTTTCTTTCTTTTAATTACTAACAAGGGTTCAACAATATTAGCAAAATCTTTTATGAATGATCGGTAATAAGAACATAACCCAAGGAAAGAAGAAAATTTCTTGGCGGTGTTGGGAGGTGGGAAATTCTTGATGGTTTTATTTTTGAATCTTGAGTTTCATTATACCCTTTTGCGAAATTTTATAACCCAGATATTTAAGTTCTTTAGTTGCGAACTTGCATTTTGAGGCGTTAATTGTAAGACCGGCCTCTTTTAATAATTTAAAAACTTCTTCTAGGTCTTTAATATGTTGTTCCAACGTACTACTCGTTATAATTATATCATCTAGATAGATTAAAGTCGATTTTCCTAGGACAGGCTTTAGAACAATGTCCATAGCTCTCTGGAATGTTGACGGGGCCCCACACAACCCAAAGGGCATGCGTAAAAATGCATAAGTGCCCGATTTTGTTATAAACGCGGTTTTTTTATGTATGTCTTCGGGTCTCATAGCTATTTCATAGTAGCCAGACGTTAAGTCCAACGTAGTCATGTATCTTGTAGATTTAATCTTTCTAATAATTTCATTTATAACCGGCAAAGGGTAAACTGGGAATTTAGTAACACTATTGAGTTTTCTGTAATCGATAGCAAACCTCCAAGCCCTTTTATCCGAAGGAGGAAACTCGTTCTTTTTCCTACATAGTACGACTGGACTCGCGTACTCACTATTTGTGGGCGTTATTATTTGGTTCTTTAACATTTCCTGAATATGTTCTTCTATGATTTTGCTCTTTTCTGTTTGTCATAGCGGTAAGGTTTAGTCCTACAGGGTTTGTCGGCAGTTAACTGTATCTCATGCGTAACTATTTGACAACTACCAGGCCGTTCTGAAAACAAGTTTGAAAAAGTACTCACCACTTGCTGGATGGCTTGGCTTTCATGGTCATTCAAATGGCTAAGGTCGACTTGCGGTTGTTCCACTGGTTCCACCACCCTCCGATCCATCTCCAGCACGATAGAACTTTCCTGAAAATTCAGTTTGGCCTTCGCGGCTTTTAAAAACTCCATACCTAAAATAAGTGGACTTTGCAAGTTTTTTACTACAAAAATTAATACTTTAAGGCTTTCGTTTTGAACCTGTATTTTTAAAGATAGTTTTCCAATACAATGACAAGTTTGTCCTTGCGCTGCTATGATTTCTGTGTTTTTATTTTTAAATAATCGTAACCTATTAAAATTCTTCTTAAAAAAATATCACTCATAAAATTACCTTCTGCTCCTGTATCGATGAGGGCTTCTACTGGTACATCGCCAACCAGGACTTGTATAATTGGTAATTGTGAGTTTTTTACGATGACCGTATTTAAGTATCTTCTTGAGGGTTTTTTCAAAACTTCCGGGGTCTGGACCCTCGCTTTCACAGGCCCCTCTACTCGTTTAAAGCTTTCCTTTCAACTTCTGCCTTCTGGGTACGCGGACGGTTGTTTTCAAATTTCCTTTTTGGGCCTTGACCTTCGAGCTTCGATGAGTTAGCTTGATAGCTCTTTCCCCCATAAGAGCGGTTTGCATTTCTGGTCTGCTCATTTGAAGATTGCCTTCGGATACTTTGAGAATACGATGCCCCTCTAGCTTTTTCCGCTATTCTGCGATTTTGGAACTTGACCGCCAATTCGAAGAGCTCCTGCAATGTGCTTGGGTTTCTAATTTCGAAGTAATCTTGAACAGCAGGTAACAATCTTGGTAAGATTATTTCAATAATCTCCGCGTCGGGTTTCTTCCCATACAGCATATCCGTCAGCTTAATTTTTCGCAGAATAAAGTCCGTCAACTCTTCTATATTCCGTTGATAAAAACTATATAGTTCGGCTTCTAGCCTTGCTCGATCTTTCACTATGGGGAAGGCCTTTAATAACGATTTTTTGAAATTTTCAAATGTATATGTCTGGCCTCCGAATTCCCCTAATAAAAATTTGCCTATATTCTTCCACCATAGCGCGGCCTGTCCTCCTCTTAGTGCAGATGTGGCGATGGCAACTTTTTGTCTTTCAGGCACAGGGTAGAGCTGGAAATGATTTTCGAGGCCTTCTAGAAATATCGCCACCGAATTTTTTCCGTCGAAATTGACGTTTGGCTTGATTGACGCTCTCATCGTCTGGACCAGGTATCCAAATCCTTCCAATTGGCTTGCCATTTCTTGTTGTTGTCCAGCAGCTTCCATCCAATTTTCGGCCATTTCAGTTCGACAAGTGTTCGGGCGCCAATGTAATGTTGCGCGCTTCCAACCTGCACGCAACAATAGTGGTGACTGCTATGAACTGGAAAGTATACAAAGTCTTGAGAAGGGTTTAAATCCCTTTTTATTCAACTTTAGAAATTACAGATGCGTGCTCTTGACGCTCACAAACTACGCCGACCCGGCGGTAAAATAAAAATAAGAAACTCAAAAAAAGAATAATAACAAGTGACTAACTACGAGGCTCTCTAAACGTAACTAACCTCACCGCGTTCTAAAATAGCGCTGATAATTCAGCAAACTTCTGAATATTACGTTGAAAGATTAACAATCTGCCGAGGCAAGCACACAAGCCGAAATGCGTGGTTCTTCAATTTCTAACTAGCCACCTCCACGCTCGTGAAGCAAGAAAGCACACTTTCGAACTCGTTTCCCTTCTATTTAATTCAGAATACTTCCGCTGACTATTTTGAATACTTGCGAGTTCTACTAAAATTTACATACTCTGGCATTGGCAATTCCAGGGGAAAGTAAGGCTTGACAGGAAAGATAGTTTAAACTTAAAATAAATGTTAGTGAAAATAAATATAAACCCTACAACATTATTTACAATAGTCAAATACCTTTATTAATCCACTGTACTGCTATCACGTGGAATTGTAGTTATAGAAACATTTTACCAAAAATAAGTATTACTAAATCTGTGCACAGTACAATATATTATTGAAGTTTTTCAGCTCCATGTTTTCCTATTATTATCTTAGCAATCCCAGGAAAATTTTCACCAAGACTACACCCAGCCACACACACAAGGCGGTCTCTTAGAAACCGCCTCATAGTGGTGCCTTATCATGAATAGGCCTGTACCTCTATGCAGGTCGGCCAAAAGACAGAAATCAGTCCTACAAGTCTATGCAGTGAAACAAGTCTATGCAGGTGTTCCAAAAGACAGAAATCAATCCTAAGAGTGCCCTTGTATAAAGGTACGCTTCTTATAAAGATCGACTTGTAACATGTAAAAAATAACTTTCGTAGAGTGCGAACATCTTTATGACAGGGATAACTATGTAAGTAGAGTTTTGATTTGCTGCTGTAATTAACAAAAGAAATGAAAATTCTACTTTTACAAAGGTGTTCCGGCATAAAAGAGCCCGCATCTATGTGAAACTTGCTTTATATAAATCAGAAATTGACGTTCACGAGGATTTTGGCACCTTTATGCTGGGGTATTGTTACGTAGGTGTCGATCTATTTGAACAATGGCAGACTTGGTTAATGATACAAGAGCCTTATTGTCAGAGCATCAGTATAAACAGTGGCGTAGCTAGGGTAGGGTAACGGGGAACATCTGTCCCCGGGCGCAGCATCCAAAGGGCGCCAAATTGATGCTACGAAATTTTTTAATGAAATGATTTCCATTCTTGGCACAAAGAAAGGGCGCAAATTCTTCATTGCCCCCGGACGCTAGAAACTCTAGCTACGCCCCTGAGTATAAAGGCATCCAATCGCTCTCCAACTGCCTTCTAATATCAGCGCCTTCTATGAAGAACTTGTTGCCTAATATCTTCATGCTCGAATACAATCGGATATGGCAGGACGCCGCCAACCATCCTTAAATATCAGCGAAATGGTCACCTAATTTAATTCCACCAACTCAGGGGGCATTCACCGCGAAATGTATGTGTCTCTGCAGTGCTAAATCATTATCTCTAGGTCTAACCGAAAGGGTACAACAATGGTCTTACTTTTATAATCGAGGAATTTGGACTATATTCAATTTATTTCAGCCCGCTTTATAACTTTATTCAAATCTTCTTAAAACTATACATTAACAGCTGTCAATATATATTTTTATTCACAAAAGAAAAACAAAATATCATCTTAACAACTGCATTTCTCAATGCTCTTACCTTTCGTCCTGTGGCATTAGTTCAAGAAAGGGAGAAAGAACAAAGTTATTTGCGCACCAAACTAAACAAGAGTCAGTGCCGTCTATTAAATTAATTCTCGATTTATAATAAATGTGCTGCTTTTTTTCATCAATGTAGCGTTTTTATCAAAACAAAACGAAAAATGCTAAACTATGTATTTTAGTTCCCTTCTGATTCATGTATATTTCATATGGCAGTTTTCATCATATTTAAATACAAAACGCGTTTAACTTCAAAATGACAATAGCCCTTCCACGCTTCGTAACACATTCAGTATACTTTTATTAGTTTAGTAAAATTCTTCTTTTAGTCCTTGAGTGATAGACAATATATGCGTGAAGAATTCTGAATATATTCCACATGGCATTACTGATAATACTTTTCCTTTTTAGGTCTCAAAAACTGGTTTGGCATGGTTCAGACAAACATGGTGTGCGAGATCTAGAATCATACTGTGATGCTTGGCATTCAGCAGGACTAGGAAAAGTGGGAATGGCAAGTTCTCTTCTACGAGGACGCTTGCTGGATCAAGAGCGTTATTCTTGCAACAATTCTTTCATTGTCCTGTGTATCGAAGCAACCAGCCAAGACGACTATCGTCGAAAGAGGAAAAAGAGAGACATAGAAGATAAAGAAGTAACGTGGGAAGAATTCCTCCAGAGTATGGAAGAAGGCGACGATGGGCAAGAACACGAAATTCCTTAAAAAAACTTTAAAATAGTGAAATTTATAAAGGATTTTGTTTCTTTTGTACATGTTTGTTTCGTTCAAATTTTACTTTGTTGAAGAAAGAAATCTTCTACGTTCTTTGTGAAAATGCGGGATTTTTTTCATTGCATCAGAATATGGTGCAATTTTTCATGCGTCACTTGTGTCTCAAAAAGTGATTTATTATTTTCTAAGAAAGCATTTGATGTAATCTTTTGTAATTTAATTAGGCATCATGAATGTGCAGAAACTGTGTTTTATCAGCATTGGTAATTTTTGCCTTGAGGAAGAGTACATTAGAAAAAGTGCTTCTGGCAAGCGCTTTTAAGTGTGTTTTTGACAAAGTGGAGTATCTTAATCTGAGGCTCAAAGTAGAAAGTATATAGAATGCACATGCCAAACATAATCACGACACGACTGCTATCAGAATCCAAGTAAAGTGATACAGAATTTGAAAAATGAATGGTATATTTATAATTTCTGAATCAATATTCGAAATTGTTTCGGATCTTGCTTGTATGTAAGTTATTTCTTTTCCCTTCTGTGCCAAACGCAATTTAATGTGAACTAACATAAACTAAAATCAGTGAAAGAGGAGCACATTATGCATTTTATTTAATAAAGTTATTTTTTTCCTCATTATTTAGCATGAAATGTTATGTTAAATAAGTCCCTGTTTGAAAATTTCATTCACATTTAATTTAAAACAGTCCTTCAATAAAATTTTTTAAATTATTTTTATTTTTCATTTTTATGTTCATTAAGTTATATAGATAATGAATTTTCTAAAGTATAAAATTAGTAATAGAAAAAATGCAATTCTGCACTTTCTCTTTCCTTTGATCATTTTTTTAAGTATAAAGAGTACTAGTAATATTGCTTAAAAGATGTGAGTGAAATACTGATGAGAGTACAGCTCATGATTTTATTGGGATCTGGCTTTCGTTATTTTATTTTTGCGTCTCCAAGGAATTTATTGCCGTGTTAAAAAATTTCCTAAAAACTTGTCTTTCCATTATGATTCCTTGGCAAATGTATATATTTCAGTTTAAAGTTTATTTTGCGTGATTTTATTAATATATTTATCTGTAAAAAATTATTAAATTTGCATTATGCTACAGACATGATTATGCCATACTAGTTAAATATAAAAATACTGGTAATAACATTTTTATATCATTTCCATATTTTATGGTCATAATAGGAAACGTTTTGGAGTCATTAAGTTAATGATTAAGTTTCAAAATGAAACATACATCCTTGTAATTGTTACTTTCAAAAGTGCTGTGGATATGTTGAATGAAAACGTGTGTTCGTAAATGTTACGAATCTCATATCTGATTCTTAACGATCTGCCATCATTGTTCAATAAAAATCTAACATCGTATTTAATGTTAAATGTTCATTGCTTAGTTCATCCTATGCTAGTCACATTTGATATGTGTTCTGTAGGCATGTTTCCCAAGTGATTGCAGATACGTGATTGCCATCAGTTGATTCTAACTGATGAGAAAATCATCTTCCTCTAGGAAACGGATTTTAGAGTCATTTGATTGCTATCACGTTTAAGCTTCGCTAAAACTTGTCAAATGTATTCAATCTTCATCAATTTTATACTTCATATATTTTCTGCAGTTCTGTAACAGACATTAGTATGTGTTCCTATGTATGTCAGTATTTTATTTATTTGTGTACAGAAACTGAACCATGGCTACTTAAGTGATAGTATAGGAAATGAATGTCGTATGAAGTAAAACTGTGCAGTATTAAATGTATTGGAACTTACCTTATTAAGACCTTATTTAAGGATGCATCTCAAATTCATCAGATATCAGAGCATGTGATTGAATCATCCATAAGCTCTACTTTACCGTCTAAATGAAGATGTTGCTTTCAAAATTTTAAAGAAATATTTCAAACAAGTACTATATTTCACTGCAACTTTAAGTAAATGTTGGCAAATGTTAAGCTCAATTTTTGTATTTTCTAAGTCATCTGAAAAAGCTGAACAAGTTTCTGAAATTGATTCCAATTTTAATTTATTCTGAATAGCATACTCAAGCGGGAAAATGTTTCATACTGAATTCTATCACTTACATACAGCTTTAACTAATAAATATATTTTAAATTTCTCTTTGAATAATGTTAACTTTGTAAAGAATATGCCTTTTACTAAGTATAACTCGTGGCAAATCCTCACTAGTTTGTAAGCGACTTATCGCAATGTCTTATATGAAACAGAAACGTAAAAAGGGTTTTTTTTTAAACTAATTAAGCTGAAAAGAAGGCACACGTGGTGCTTACAAATCAGCCAGAAATTTTGGCGCGAACTCAAAAACAGAATTTTAAATTTAAAACTAAATGTAAGTATTTATTAGCCAAAGGCTATGCAGAGAAATTTAAACACGGAAATTGGCTTTTGAGCTTACATCGACGTGACAATACTATCAGTAAGAAGAAAGCAACGCTGAGTACAGGGACACTTATCTTAGAATAACAACTAGTAACGTGACCTTCAGCGGGAAAAACACGTTCTATCAGAACAATCTCAAACACCTTCTTAAATACACGCAAAGTAATTTGCATTTTGGCAAGAAAATGAAAACAGAGAAGAAAACAGTACAGAATCAGAGCATAAAATAACTGGTTACTTAACATAAATAAACCCTACAGCTTTACTTTCAAGAAGCTGTTCTGTTTGCTAAGCTCATTTAATCCAAATGCTCTGCAAGTTAGGATGATAATATGGAGAAACTGTAAATCAAATGTAATCAAATCGTATGAAAAACGATTCCAAAATTTTAAATATAAATACTTTTATGCTCCGTGCTAAGAGCATGCCTGTTGAGTTTTGTGTATTCAGTGTGTTGCTTATGAAATATTCAAGTGACATTCTAAAAATATAAATATCACAATGTAGCCATGATTTTCTTTGCGTGATATGAGTGAAGTATGGGTGCATTAAAATGGTAATAATTCAAACATAACTTGTCTTTTATAATTTGATGTTTGTCTCGAACGTCATTTTTGTCACCTAAATCTCGATTGATTTGTAAAAATAATGATTCTGTAATATTTGTTTAAAAGAGTGTTTATGTGAAATATGTATGAAGGGAATTAAATATTTGATAGAACTATTTTGTTGCACTGTATTTATTTTATAAGCCAAACTGTATCCCGGTTTAAAATAATAATAAACTTTTTCCATTTACAAAGTCAAAAATTGGATTATTTGCTTTTAATTTTCCTAATCCTTCTTCTTCTCGATTGCAGTTAGATTTTGATATTAATCTTCAGTCTTGCTGTCCTATTAGTATGCAGTCTTATCAAGTTCCCACAGTTGTTTTACGTTTTATGATAAAAATTTAGAACCTGAAGTCATTTTCAGAAACAAAATAGTATCTAAGCCGGTGGTTTTCAACCTGTTTTGTCCCATTCACGCCATTCACCATTGCTAGGAGATCATTTCCCTTCTCCTACTTTCCAAAACTCGAAAAATACTTATGCATTATTTAGATGTCGATTATTTTTAACGAGTTTTAAAATTAAACAACAAAAAATAATGAAAATGTTGATAAATACGAAAACTTGAATAAAAGTGGTTTTTGTATTCATAAACTAAAACTAAATATTTAAAAGCTAAATAAAAGGTTGACCGGATCTGCCTTTCCCTCCCGAAACTATGAAATTCTTCCCCAGGGGAAGAATTCCTTGCTGGTTAAGAACACCTGGTCTAAGCCTAAGTTTGTTATGGTCATTGGAAAATATTAAGAAGTACTCATTTTATATTTATCGCAGGTACTAATCATATTTCGAAGTACCCTCCTAACATATAGATGAATTATTCTGAATTATTCTTGTAAATCTTCTGAAGAGATAAACCCTATGTGAACCTAGGTAATTTTTAAGATCAGGAATCGGCAACCGTTCTTTGCTGCGGGTCAAAATCAACCAAAAATGTGTGCATTAAGAAAATCAGTCGGGTCAGTAATATTATCACATTAAAAAACCTTTTTTTTTTTTTTTTTTTTTTTTTTTTTTTTGTGAAAAGACAAATTTTATTGAGAAAATGATTACAATACCCTTTAAACTCTATCCATAAAAATTAAAATTATAATTATTATAAAAACAAACATTACTGAATGGACTTTATTTTTCTCTTCGATATCAGTAGTTCTGATACTGAATTTCTGACGTCAATTAAGTCCGGCTTATAGTTAGTTGTATTAAGACGAATGCAAGCATTTCAATGCCATTTCCCCCCCCCCCCCACCTCCCCCCCCCCCCCCCCCCCCCCCCCCCCCCCACCCCCCCCCCCCCCCCCCCCCCCCCCCCCCCCCCCCCCCATGCAAGCATTTTCCGTACTTCCTGCTCCTGTTCTTAATTAAATGAAATTTCATGTGTGAAAATATTAGCTCTCATTTAGAAGTTGAACCGATTGCGGAAAATGCCAAAGCCGATATTTTTCGTTACTGAATTAATTTTTGCCTTGAACAAGTGCTACAACTGAGAGTGAACTAAATCAGCGTTGCCAAACTTATTGATCTATCCTTAAAATTACATATGTTCGTTATTGCAGTTTTGTAATCAAACAAAAATACTATTGTTATTACTTATTTTTAGTTTTTTTTTTTTTTTTTTTTTTTTTTTTTTTTTTGTGTGTGTGTGTGTGTGTTTTTCTTCAAGTTCTTTGTGTGTGTGTTTTCTTGAAGACTTTCACTAGTGTAAATCTCAGTTACTGTAGAAAGTGACGAATCTTAAGAAGTGAGAACTGAATTAATTGATTATTAGATTTATTATAGTATTTGAATAGATCACGTGGCAACGATTAGATAATTCTTCAAATGATATAAATTTATATGCATTCTGAGTTATAATATAGACGAAATGTGTGAACCTAGCGCCAGAGTGCCACTTTCGTAAACAAATATAGTGAATTTTAAAAAGTGCATTTATTCTATTGTGGTTTATGCGCTATCGACGATGTACATTTAATTCAATCCAATAAGTTTAAACAAAATGAAAAAAAATGCTCATAATTTAATATTCCGTGCAAGGAAAGTCATGTGGTGTACACATCAGATTTTTTAATATTACTGTGTCGCAACCGCTTAAGTTCGTGTGACAAGAAACAACAAGATAGAAGGGTAACTAACCCTTTATTATTTACAATAAGATTTAACAAAACTCCACCTGGGAGTGTACAATCAAAGCCGACACTTGGGCTTGAACTTAAGAGACTAAGAACTAAACTAAAACTAAGATTAACGAAAGAAATATAGCCGAAGCTATCAAGTTTCTAATGCAGTTGGCCCCTTAAACACCAGATGACTGCGAAGCTATCAAGGGGCATTAGTACGGCCGGAGCGTAATAACAGCTTTTTGAGAGAGAGTGACCAAAAGGTGAACGCGCGTAAATCAGAAACTGATTCTCTCTCGCTAAGACCATAGAACTTCGCGGTTAAATACCGCTCTCCCTCATTATGTATTCAGACGTGATTCTAAAACTACGTTCTGGCCGGAAGTAGTAAGTTGAAGTTAAGAATTTGACATGAAAGGAACTTAAAATTTAACTGTTAATAAAATTAACATAATTCTTACAAAGTGTTCGTTTCATATTTATGTTTTAAAATTTTTTTTATACATTATATCTTATTTTTTCACTCTTATGTCTTCGTGTCCCATGAAATTATCAAAATGGGTCATTCTGCGACCTGCGGGTCATAGGATGCCGGGGCCTGGTTTGAATGGTTATATTGATCTATATATTTGCTCAAACACTCTGAATGTGTTGAGATATCAGGATGAAATCCTTAATGATATCCCTGATTACGTGCTGTTGCGACTGTTTTTTTTTTTTTTTTTTTTTTTTTTTTAATCACACGCATCTACATTTCTAAGCTTCACGAAGTACTTCAAACTTGTTTTTTTTCTTCACATCTCTACACTTTTCAGTATTCTCTAGCATTTTAAAGGGCATTCCGTGCTCTCAACCATTTGGAATGCATTATATACTATTTGAATATGGATTCGGACGTAGGCAGAGCATTGGTTAGTTGATTCTCTTAATTACGGCTTTGCAAAAGGCTATCTTCTTATGAGAAAGAATGATTTCGAGAACGGAAAAAAAAAAAAAAAAAAAAAAAAAAAAGTTGCTCATATTTACTTCATGCATGAAAAACACATGCAGCCACCTCGTTCACCACCTAAAAAGGACTTTAGATAAATTAACCAGTTTTTCTAGAATCTAGCTATTCAGCAATTGTTTGTGCGTAGAGGGTTAAGTTTTAGATTCTAAGACGACTGGCCTGAGAAATGGAAATTTTACTAATTAAATCCTCTATTGTTTTCGTAGCGTTGCCGCCTAGACGGCATAGTGATTGTGACGCTGAGTGCCGTACCGAAGGATCCGGGTTCTATTTCCTGGAGATGGTCTAGATGTTTATAAGCGTATAGTGTCTGTGCGGCAAAAGGGCATTCAAAATACACGGCAAACCAAATGCCTCTCGAGATGTTAATGGTAAAGGAGGAGGGTTAGGAGACCCTCGGACCAGACTTCAGGGAGTTCTACCTCGAAATTCCATCCTAGGAGTAAGCTTAGCAGTTAGCAAAGAAAATACCTAATGTGTCTACCTAGATGCACAGGTTCTGGTTTTTCTTTTAATTTGTAAGCCAGTAGTTTTTTTTTTTTTTTTTTTTTTTTTTCATTGACATAGACGCATGATTTCCCAAGTATTGCTTTTATATACTTGACCATAATTCCGTTATTTTAAAATCTTTGGAAAAACTTATTTGCACGGCAACTGCTGAGTTCCTTGTTTTCTGATGATTAGCTTTAGCCCCCTTTCGATTATTCTAGTGAAGCATCATCGTTTTCTCGCCTGTTGCTTCTAATGCAAAGTTACAACAGTAGCCGCGGATTTTGATGTGAACTGGATTCTAGAGAAGCTGCAGTAAATAGGAAGTGCTTGCTACTTGCGCTACTTTTTCTTTTTTTTAACCCGCCATTTCCACCGATTTTGTATTTTTCTAATGAATGTGATATTTTTGTTTAATATTGAAATGCATGTCCCGCGCTGTGGAATAGATATAGAACATAGGATTAGGATTTTTTTTATCAATAAAAAGAATTACTTTCTAGAAAGTATAAATCACAGCGAGGTATTTTTTAAATTTTTTGTTATTATTTTATTTATTTTCGCCATACATTCAGACCTACTTTAAAGGGCCCACCAGCGGCCGAGCGATAAAGTCTCTAAACACTGGTAGTTCTGTCCGAGGTTCGAATCCCGCGAACGGGCTGGCTTCATGGGTGTTTTCGTGGTTTTCCCCATGTGTAACGTGTATACGAGCCAGTTTCCCTTAGAAAGTCCTCCACGAAGACATCCATCCCCTTAGGCAGATAGCCCTAGTGTGCTTTGCCATAATTAAATACACCACCACCACTGCCTACTTTAATTTCTATTAAGATCTACTTTAAATTCTACTTTGAAATGAAGTAATGAAGCAGTATGTTTTTCTCACTTTTCCCAAAGTAGAGGGTATAGAATCCTAAAAAAGTACTTCTTAATAAGAAAAGTTTCGTAATTTTTATTCCCTCGTCTTCAAATGATATCTTCGTGAATACTAAGGTACTTATGTGTTGTTTTCTTTACCTCAAAAACGTTCATTGTTTGCTTTATTCCCAAAATGGTAAGGTTTCCCTTAGCTATGAGTAATATTTGCTATGTACAGCGATCTCAAAATTATAAAATGTGAAAAATAAAATTTTAGTAGCAGCATAATAGGCTGTCACTCTTTACCTATGCTTCAATTATTCATTTGGCACCGCCAGTGGCCAAGTAATTAAGGCCATCTGAACTCTGGGAGTTCAATCCAGGGGAGCAGACTAGCTACATGGTTGGTGTTCGTGGTTTTTCCCATGTGTACCCCCAAGGCAGATAGTCCTCGTGGGTGTTTTGCTGTATTCAAAGAAACTGACCAATTATTTGCTTCTTTAATTTCTGCTCTTTAATTGTTCGACATATCTTTATGGCCCACTAACAGCAGAGTTCTTAAAACTGTTGAACATGGCTGTTTTACTCTGGGTGCTCGGGTTCCATTTCTATCAACTGAACAGAGATGAGAGTCTATAAAG